AGGGACCATTCTTAATAACACTAGAATACTTCCAATGGAAAGTAGATGGGTCATATTTAAAAAATAATAAAAAATGAGAACCCATCTCATTATCTGATTGTAAAAATTGGATGGGTGAATGGTTATATCCCAATCTATATGGAATTCTGAATTCACCTATTCCTGACATAGCCACTCCAACAAATAACAATATATGGTATATGGGAAAGGGACATTTTTGTTGGGAAGGGTTAGAAAATTCTTCTGTTATACTAAGTGATTTCCATTGTAATGACATCATGCTCATATTAAGTGCTATGGGAGTATGGTGTAATACTGAAATTATGGGCTAAATAACTTTGCCTGAGGTTAATGAAACCCATGATAATATTGATATTGAAAATCCAATGTCTTGGGAAATTGAACTTAACCCTCTTCATGAAGTCATTTCTATGGAAACTAATTAGTCAGAAGAAAAATTGGAGCTTCTGGATCATGAAATAGTAGAGCCTTCATTAATCTGGCCAAACTTATCATAAGGTACAAATAGCAGTAGACGAAGGAGGAAAACATATTATTAGCTTAATAAAAAAAAAAATAATGATAAATGTCAGGGGTTCTTTGTTTGGCCGGGATATTTTTTCCTCTCAGACCTGTATCTGTCAAGTACTGGACATTTTCTTCTCCTAATTAGGTGTTACTAGTTTAATATTATTGCTCCTGTTAAATGTTATACTAGACGCAGAAAAACAAAACATAAGACGAACAGCAAAAAACTTCAGATCATAATAGCTCAAAGATTAAAAATGATCCAGAATATTTTTAATGAAGACATATAAGACTTGAATGCCTCCCACTCAACCACCTTTCCTTTTGAAAAAATTCGACCTTGACTGCCATTTAAGGTTATGGTTTTGCCCACCCCCAATGGTCTACTGTTTAGCAAGACAAATGCTGACACTAGGAATGAGTCTTCCGAGCACTGTGGGACCACATTATCCAAGCAAAAGGCTGGTTATCAATGCATCCTTCAGATTTATTTATGACAAAAAAAGGAAACTATGGATGAAAATGGGGCTGCACACTAAACCTGACAAGCTCAGGGAGGCCAGCATTGTGGATCTTACACACTCAGAGACCCAAAATAACCACACAGATGGTCTGAACATGAAAATTTCTAACTAGATGCAGTCATAGAGTATTATCACATTCTGGGCCTGTAGCAATCTTCCTTGAAAAGGTCAATCTTTACCTTAAATGAGCCTATCTATTGTCTTTTTGCATCTAAGATAAAATATCTTTGGAATGTCAGAGTAATGCCTTTTCCAGGACCCTCAGGGTACAACCTTCCACCAGAGTACTAGACCACAGAACCCCTCATTGTTATCTTGTTGCCCACATACCATCTCCATGTGCTGTAAATGTTAATTATCTTATACCTACCAATGTAAAAGAAGTACATGTTTCTCTACTTTCCTTTTTATCCAATCTCAGAAATTGCCCCACTTTGCTTTCTCCCACTTCCCTAATCTACCATGGATGAATTTCATGTGACCCACCCCCTTGTGTCACCTCCTTTATTTCTAATGTATAAAATAAGCTGTAAAAGTACAGTCTCTGGAGCATCTTCTCAATTGAGATTTTGCTTCCTGGCAATTGTCATCAGTTTGGCTCAAACAAATTTTTTCTTAGGCTGAAAGTTCTTTTGATGACAAACGTAAACTCGCACCTATTATTTGAATGTGGTATGTATGGTGAACAGGAAGATAGAAAAATGGATCCATTAAGTTCCCTTTACTCTTCTGGAAGAACCTTCAAAATTATCTTCAAAGACACCCCATTGCTCTAGCCCTGTGTGAATCCATCTGGCTTCTCTAGAATAAGTGAAGGGTTAAACTTCAGAGTCTCTCCCTTGGGTTGGTTAATAAGAGCATGATGCCTCTCCCTTATAATTAAGAAAAGAGCCTAAGGCTTTATTGGAGAGGTGCATAAACTGCAATGAGCTTGGGGAGATAGGACAGCATTCCCTCTCACAGTTTTTCTAAGTAAGCTCTTAGAGCTCAGTTGCAGGTCCAGACTTCATCCAGAGTATCTCTAGGAAACTTGAGGTAAGGAGGAGGAACAAAGGGAATATACTTCTTTTTCTGGGGCTGAAAGCCACCTCTCACCTAGGACTCTGACATCCTCATCTCCCTCTCTCATTTTTGGAAAGCTGTCTAAACCAGAAGAAGCTGGATAAAGAAAAAAAAAAGGAGCTATTGATTGGAATTATTGGTCAGGGAAGGCTGGGAGTCCCTGAGTCTTTTGAGAACTCATATTGTTTTTATTTTAATTCTGGCTCCCAGGCCAGGAGCTTTATGAGAAAGCCAGTAGAGTATGGGGTGGTTGACGTCTCAAGGCTTTCCCTCATTATTTTTTTCATGGTTAATGAGAACACAGATATCTGAGCCCTGCCTTTCTCTTCAGCCTCCTAGCCTGCCACTACTCCATTTCTGAGGAATTACCTGCAGGTCCCAGTGGACACAAGATCCCCATCCATTTGTCCTGAAAGGAATGCCTCTTTTTCTCTTCTTTCTAGAATTCCTATTCATCCTTTAAGGACCCAGCTCAAAACTCACAAATATGGCAATTATTTATTTACATATATACTCCACCTCCCAACCCTGTTTAGATTCTGATTTTTTTTTTCTCAAGTCAGAAGTTTCTTATTCTGCTTTGTATGTCTGAGAAAAACATTTTTGCCTCAGATGTTAAGACAACAATTTTAACAAATATCGATACAGGCCAGTTGTCCTTTATTTCTTTTGAGCTTCCTACTGGCCAAGGTCTAGGTATCTATTGAAATATTTTTGGGACATGTGTAGAGGATTGGGACAGATGAGGTGTTTCCAAAACTATTGGTATGACACAAATTTTGATGACAATCAGGACTTTTCTCTGAAAACGTTTAGAAAAAAAATGTCTCTGAAAACTCCACTTTTCCTCTTTTTAATTTCTAAAATTCCTTTCACTTTCCTTTCATTTGTCTAGACACTAACTTACTTAGGCTTTACCTAGTTGTCTCCAGCTGTGATCAAAGTCTGCTGACTGGCATCCTGGGGACTCTTAGGGGGCAAATGTCCTTTTTATTTAGTGTTTTCTCTACTTAGTCCAGCTCTTGGCCTCTTCCCTTCCCGCCCAGAGAAGGGAACTGGGTGACCGAAGCCACTCCTGCTAACTGGAAGGAATTGGGTGTTGCTGGGCACAACGCCAGGAACTTGAACTCTGCCGAGGAATGGGATCAGGACAGCTGCTGACTCTCAGAACAGGGCTGGCAGCCAGCTCACAGGGCGTCTGGCTACCTGGGGGAGAGATCCTTCTGCTCCTGACAACGGGTGGTTTGTTCAGTTCTTCTTGCCCTGATTCTTCTCCTGCTGCTTTTCACTGCTTTTCACTGAACTCTTTGGTAACTCTACCTCTCACCAAATTTTGCAATTTGCTATAGACTTCAAATCTCAGGCTCTACCTCTCCTTCCTTTAGTGCTGCATTTCCCTGAAGTTAAAAGCCAACAAAGAGGATCAAGTTTCCTTAACTCCTTTCAAGCTCCTGGAGCTGAACTCTTCAAATCTACATACCAGAAAGGCTCTATTTTATCCCACTACCATTTCACAGGTTTCCCCGCATTGATTTTAGGTTGATCTCTGAGAAGCTGATAAAGAAGCCAAACACTCTATCCTCAGAAACACATAATAATACATTCATGCTAGGAAACTTCTGATTCTTCTTTTGGGGTAGCTGATTTACCTTTTTTTTTTTTTTTTGCTCCATGACCATGACATCCTTCTCCTGCTGCTTTTATTTTTCTCTTTTGCTTTTTTCTTCACTTCTGTAATCTGCCTCTCTCTTGATAGAATTCTTTTTTCTTCCTGATGTTTTCTAGTCAGCCTGCCCCTTCCCCTCCTGGCAAGTTCTCTGTTCTAGGGTTTAACTTGGAGGTTTTATGAATCACTAAAGAGTTTTCAGATTGCTAATCTGGGATAAGGGCAATTTGTTTCTGTTCAGAGTTAGATTCCTGGTCAAGCCTACTTCTTAACTGCATGTATAATCTTCATCTCCTTTCTAATGCCATTTACATGCTGCTTCATTAATCTGTTACCTACTATTTCTCTGGACAAGGAGGCACCTTTTCCCATTTAAATTCCTCAACTCTAGATTTCTCAGACAGATGGTTGCCCTAAAAATAATGGACTTTGAGGCTCGAAACAGTTATTATGAAAGCCTTTCCTAGAGATTCCTCTAATTGTTTATGTTAGCTGTTATGTTGTAGAAAGATCACTAGATTTAAGAGTCAAAACCTTTACAGTTTTGTTACCTATTGGCTGTGCAACCTTGGGAAAATTACTTACCTTCCCTGGGCTCTTAGCGTCCTCACTGGTAAAATGGGAACACTCCATTGGAGTATTGTGGAGATGAAATAACAAGCAGGAAGGCACTTCGCAAACTGTATTTAGATGGTAGGGTAAATGAGCAGAGATGATATTCTGACTCTTTTTTAAATGCTTCAAAGGTAAAGAATCATTAATCATTGAGATTTGTCTTGGTCAGTTTATTTTAGGCGGGTCTCAGAGAATACTACAAGCTAGAAAAGGTACAGAAATCTTTGTGCTAAAGTTAAGGGTATAAACTGTAGAGTTTTTTGTCCACAGAGGGTACTAAAGAATTCTGATTGGAGTTGTGAATCCAGTCTTGGGCTAATGTAGCCCCAGGGAGATGCTTTGGGAAGTGGAATCACTGCAAGTTAAATATTCACTTCCCAGGCAAGCCTAAAGCCTGTTTTAAAAGTGTGTGTGGGCCAAACTCAAAGTTGCCTGGGACATTTCAGACTGGCACCATCTTTTCTGGCTGTTTCTGAGGCTACCTAGGGGCCAGAGGTCAGAGTAACTGAAAAGTAAAGAGAGGACTGCAGTTTGCGCATACTCTTAGTGTAGAGGGCGGGCGGGAGGAAACGAAGGGAAGGAGGGCGCTGGGAGCTGAGGCCCCACCTTTCATTCCAGCAAAGTGCACCAGCAGAGCAAGGATGAGTCACAGGCTCGAGCGCTCAGATTCCCATAGGTGAGGAACTGACTCCTCAGACTAAGAAAACGTGGGTGCTCACTCCTCAGCAGTGGCCTTGGCAGGGTGTCGGAGCCCTCAGTCTGCCCGGTCTGGTCGCTGGAGCCAGGGCTGGGTTTCCCTCATGTATGGCAAGAGCCCTACGCGTGCCGTGCTTCTCCTTGGCATACAACTCACAGGTAAGAGCCGGTGGGTTTCACTCAGCATTTTCTCCCTCTTCACCTACCCTGTAAAGCTAGTGAATTGTTTAGGAAGTCACAAGGGGTTTTTTTGGAGACTGAGCTGCAGTTGCAGTTCGCTATAGTTTTGATTTTACTGAAACCAAAGTTGGTGGGTTGTTTTGGGGGAACTGCTTTTGGACAAACAGGTTTAGGTGTGTTTTGGCTGCCAGTGATTCAGGCACAGAGAGGGCTTTCAAATCTCAGGTTACAAACCATTTTTTGTGTGTGTGGCTACTCTCGATCTCCCACTGCAGGCAGGACTTGGCACTTGGATTTCTGTGTGGGTCTTGTTTGGAACTCTTTGGCAGCACCGGGAAAACCAAGACTGTTAAGGAGAGAGAGACACACACTGAGGTTTTGAAACTGCTCCAATATGCACATTCTAAATGTAAATAATATGATAAAAAATGCCATGTGATATAAGGTTTCAAGAGTGCAGGCGAACATAAGCTGTCTGGGGTTGATTAATTCAATTTCTGCAGAAGACTAGGAATAGTATAAAACCCACATGACAAGTATCCTTCCTGGAAAACTCACCCAGTAGGTGACCATTATACACACAATATATATGCTTAAATTGAATACGTGTCTAATTCATGATTAGTTTTGATTTTTTGTTTCTGCTTTGTTTTATTTGCTGATGTTTGTTATTTTGTGGGTACCACAAGGCTAGGGTCATCATGTTGCAGAGAAAGTGAGAGCACTAGGAAGGCTCGCTGTGTGGTATTTTTAGTTGTTATACGGGATGGGAGGGTCAAGGTTGCAAATAAGTAGGCATATGTAGACTCTGGGTGAAGGAAGTTTGAGAGCTGGGACATTTCAGTCCTGTTTTATACCCTATTCAGGCATTTATTTTGGTAGTGTCAGCAGAAGTTCTCTTTTACATACATCCCTAGTTAACCTTTTTCTTTTATTGTAGCTCTTTGGCCTACAGCAGCTGTGGAAATTTACACCTCCCGAGTGCTAGAGGCTGTCAACGGGACAGATGTTCGGTTAAAATGCACTTTCTCCAGCTTTGCCCCTGTGGGTGATGCTTTGACAGTGACCTGGAATTTCCGTCCACGAGATGGGGGGCCTGAGCAGTTTGTAAGTAGATTATTGTCATTTTCTAGGGCACCTTGGTTAAGATAATAAGCCAGTCTATTTCTCCTTGCCCTTCCTCTATTTTTTAGTGACAAGCACAGGGTAAAGTTGGGAAACAATTTCTGGGACAGACACTGACAGAACTAAAAATCTGGTGAAAGGGAAAACAAGAGGTTCTTGTGAGAGAGCTGCAGATGGGGCAGTGAGGCTTGCTGGTGTTTCTCTTCTGCTCCCACCGTCTCAGCCACCTTGGCCCAGACACTGAATAAGGCCTTTTGTCATTTCTCCTCTCTAGGTATTCTACTATCATGTGGATCCCTTCAGACCCATGAGAGGGCGTTTCAAGGATCGGGTGGTCTGGGATGGGAACCTTCAGCGTTATGACGTCTCCATCATCCTCTGGAAGCTGCAGTTTGATGACAATGGGACATATACCTGCCAGGTGAAGAACCCACCTGATGTTGATGGGCTGATAGGGGAGATCCAGCTCAGCGTTGTGCAGACTGGTAGGTTATGCAAAGGAAATGGTTTTGGGAAGATTGAGTTTGTAAAAAAGAAAGGGGCAATCTTTTGTGATTATGAGAGTCGAGAGAAGGACCAGCCCTTCAGATATGGAAACTAAAGAGGGAGAGTGAAGAATCCTGGGGTAAAAAGAGAAGGACCTTGTTTGGCTGTGGAAAGAAACAGAAGTAAAGCAAAGGGATCCAGGGAATCTGTTACAAAAATGGCACTGAGATTGTGAAAGGGAGAGGAAGCAACTCTCTGATAAAAGGCTAACAATAGGTCTGTTCATTCACTCATTTATTTATGAAATACTTATTGAATACCTACTCTGTGTCAGGTATTATCTCATTTAATCCTCACAACCACTCTAGGAGGCAGATACCAATAATGGTAGCTTTTATTTATTGAGTTGTGTTAGGATCTTTGCATGTTTTATTTAATCTTTCTATATTGCATCAGTTTATTGTGCTCTTAGTGCCCTCTCCCATTTTACCACAGAGGAAACTGAAGTTTATAGAGGTCAAGTCACTTGTCCAAAGTCATATTTCTGATGAATGGAGTCATTTAGAACTCAAAACCAAGCATCTTTGGCTACAATATTGTGCTCCAAACCAATGCATTATATTGCCTGCAGTCCTATAAAGGGACAACCTGGAAAAGTGCGCCAGATAAAAAAAAGCAAAGTTCATAAAACTTCGAAGTTGTAAATTTGGGTAAATAAATCTTTTTTTCCCCCTCCAGTAATGTGAGAATAATGTAGCAATGACTGAGAATAAAATGAGATAACATAAAAATTTCCCAAACTCTGAATTGTACTGAAAATTATAATAGCTACCATACATTGAGTGTTTATTATGTACAGGCACAGCATGGAACAGTTTATATGAAAAATTTTATTTTTTATAAGAACTCAAGAAATAGATATTGTTATCTCTATTTTATACATTGAGGAAACTGTCGCTAAAAGGTTAATTACCCCAAATCACACAGCTAGTAAATGGTGAAGTGGGTATTTTAACCTAGCTTTCTCTGATGTGTACTCTTAACCAACATACAATATTATTACCCTAAATGGATAAGCCTGTAAAGTGGTGTGATTTCCTCCTTTCATTCTTAGTACCATCCTTTAAGGCCCTATCAATAGAGAGCTGTGTGATCTTGGAGAAGTAATCTTAGTATAGAAAGAAGTAATGTAATGTCTTTGGACCTCAATTTCTTCATCTGCAAAATGAATAGATTAGACAAGAAGACATGGTTCTTAAACATACTGGGATCACTGCTTTTTGAGAAGCTAATGAAAGCTGTGGCCCTGCTTCCCAGAAAAAATGTACACAAACACACAATATGATAAGAATTTAGTGGGCTTGCGGCCTTCTCTCCCCTCGTCCTCCTTCATGGACTCCAGACTGGGAATCCCTGAGCTGGACATTCTGTTTTTTCTATTTCTGAGGGTTTATTGAAGTTTAAATCAGAAATCAAACTAAAAGAAAGGAGACCTGGGCTTCACAGACCTCTGGGTTCCCTCTTGCATCATTTCCCCACTAGACTATACAGTCCTATGCCATAGTGACGTTTTGATCAACAATTGACTATATGCAATGGTGGTTTCATAAGATAATGGAGCTGAAAAATTCCTATCACCTAGTGATGTCACAGCCATCACCACGTCATAACACAAAGATTGTAAAAACTAAGGCGGTGGTTGAGATGGCAAAAACTAACCTTGGGTGGATGAGGATGACATTGAGGAGCTCCTAGAGGTGATTCCTGAGGAACTGACTAATGAAAATATGTTGGAACTGGAACAGGAACACATAGCTAAAGAAGAGGCAAGAGAAAAGAAAACTGCAGGAGAATACGAAACCCCCAAAAATTCACAGTAAAGGGTTTAGAGGTTGCTTTTACAGATCCCAATAAGTATCTTAAAAAGTTTGAAAGCATGAACCCCAACACCAAAAGGTTTTCATTAATAGAGAGGAATGTTCATGGTGCATTATCTGCTTACAAGCAAATCTGTAATGGAAAAACAAACAAACAAACAAACAAAATAAACCAAGCAAACCACCACCAATACATTTCTGAAAAGAGGGACACTTCAGGAAGAGCCTCAGGCAGGTCCTTCAGGGCATATTCCAGAAGAAGGCATCTGTATCGGAGATGACAGCTCCATGTGTGTTATCACCCCTGAAGACCTTCCGGTGGGACAGGATGTGGAGGTGGAAGACAGTGATATTGATAATCCTGATCCCATGTAGGCCCAGGCTAATGTGTGTGTTTGTGTCTTAGTTTTTAACAAAAAGTTTAAAAAGTTAAAAAAAAAATTTAAAAATGAAAAATGAAAAAGCTTACAGAATAAAAATATAAATATTTTTGTACAGCTGTACAATGTGTTTGTGTTTTAAGCTAAGTGTTACTATAAAAGAGTTAAAAGAAAAAAAAAATTTATCAAGTTTATAAAGTTAAAAAGTTACAGTAAGCTGGTTAATTTATTATTGAAGAAAAATATTTTAAATTTATTGTAGCTTAAGTGGACAGTATTTGTAAAGTCTACAGCAGTAATGTCCTAGGCCTTCAGATTAACTCACCACTTACACTCACTGACTCACCCAGGGCAACGTCCAGTCCTGCAAGTTCCATTCTTGGTAAGTGCCCTATATAGGTATACCATTTTAAATCTTTTATATCATATTTTTATTGTAGTTTTTCTATGTGTAGATATATTTAGACACACAAATACTTACCATTATTATTACTTACAGTATTCAGTGTAGTAACATGCTGTATAAGTTTGTAGCCTAGGAGTAATAGGCTATAACCATAAGCGTAGGTGTGTAGTAGACTATACCATCTAGATTTGTGTAAGTGCACACTTAGGTTTGTGTTTGTACAATGACAAAATTGCCTAATGATGCATGTCTCAGAACATATCCCCATTGTTAATGATGCATGACTGTAGTTACAGATTTACTTCCCAGTGGGCATGTGTTCCTTGAAAGTAGTGTCTTTTTTCTTTGGCATGCTATTTCCACCAGTACCTAGAACATGGTAGGTCCTTAATAAAGTTGAATAAATGCCTGGCTGAATGGCAAAGGGGAGAGGGATTTAGGGAGAAATAGTTTGGGTCCTAGATTTGATTAGGTCATCAATAATCTTACTCAAATGGCCCAGTGGTTCTCACAATTTTAGCATGCATTGGAATCACCTGGTGGACCTGTTAAAACAGATTGCCAGACCGCACCTGTAATTCTGTAAGTCTGGGGCGGGGTCTGATAATTAGCACTTCAAAGGTCTCAATAATACTGCTGCTGTTCTACATCTAGGACCATAGTCTGAGAACCACTAAAGTAGTCTGTGCGATTTTCCTACTGCTACTGGAGTTTACAAGGTAATACGGCAGGAGAAAAAGAGATTCCACTTAATGATGAAAATAATTCCTATTACATGTTTAGCTGTCATCATAGTCTTTCTCCTTTATAGAATTCTAACTTGATCTTTTCTCTCCTTACAGTACGCTTCTCTGAGATCTACTTCCTGACTCTGGCCATTGGCTCTGCCTGTACGCTGATGGTCATAATAGTAATTGTGGTGGTCCTCTTTCAGCATTTCCGGAAAAAGCGATGGGCTGAAAGAGCTCATAAAGTGGTGGAGCTAAAATCGTAAGGCTGGGCAGTTCTGAGATAATCTTCTAATATTTTTTTATGGTGACACTTGGTATTTTTCAATAGGGCTAAATAACTGTTGAACAGATATTCTTCTCTTTGAGGAAATCGTATATAAAAGAATTAAAATTCACAGAATGGATAAAGTAGGGTATGAATTAGTAATTTTACAAAAGGTTTCTTAATTTTACAGAAGATTTCATTATAAGCTTTGTTTATTATGGAGGATTTGATATTATTAAAATCTGCTATGTAAAGCTTTTTTAGGATACTCCTTATTTTTAATGTAAAGGAATACATTTCTAAGAACCACTGGGTAGTCAGCAGAGGCACTATGAATCAATGCCTGGGAAAATCAGCCATACTCATATAAGGTGCTCAAATATTCTTTTATTGAGATGAAATTAACATACTATAAAATTCATCTTTTTACTATTTAATATTCACCACTAATTCCAGAACATTTTCATCATCTCCCAAATATTCACCACTAATTCCAGAACATTTTCATCATCTCCCAAAGAAATTCTATACCCTTTAGTTATCACTCTATTTTCCCCTCCCACCTGACGTCTACTAATTTGCTTTTTTTTCCCCCTATAGATTTGACTATTCTGGACATTTCATATAAATGGAATTATACAATATATGGCTTTTTTGTCTAGCTTCTTTGATTTAGTATGTTTTCAAAGTTCATCCATGTTATAGCATGTAGTAGTACTTCATTTGACAGCTGCATGATATCCCACTGTGTATATATCACATTTTGTTTATCCATTCAATTGACTGACACACGTTTTTCCCACTTTTTAGCTATTGTAACTGATAATTTCATTTATAAGTTTTTGTGTAGACATATATTTGTTCTCTTAGGTACATAGCTAGAAATGAAATTGCTGGGATATAAGGTAACTATGTTTACTTCATTGAGGAATTGCCAGACTATTTTCTGAAACAGGTGCACCACATTATATCCCCACCAGCAATGTATGAGGGCTCCAATTTGTCCACATCATTGACAACACTTGTTATTGTCTGTCCTTTTGATTATAGTCACAATGGGTGTGAAGTGGCTTCTCACTGATGTTTTAATTTGTATTTTCCTAATGACTAATGATGTTAAGTAGCTTTCCATGTGTTTAATGGCCATTTGTACATCATTTTTGGAGATGTAGCTATTCAAATGTTTTGCCTATTTAAAAATTCTAAGAGTTCCTATATATTTTGGAGTATCTAAAATGCATTATTGGATATATGATTTGCAATTATTTTCTTCCATTCTGTGGATTATCTTTTCACTTTCTTGATAGTGTCCTTTGAAGCACAGAAGTTTTAAATTTTGGTGAAGTCCAATTTATGGTTTTTTGTTGTTGTTGCTTGTGCTATTGGCGACATATCTAAGATACCATTGCCTAATCCAAGGTCATGAAGATTTATGCCTGTTTTCTTCTAAGAGTTTTACAGTTTTAGTTCTTACATTTAGGTCTTTGATTCATTTTGAGTTAATTTTTGTATATGAAGTAGGAGTTCAAATTCATTCTTTTGCAGAAGTTGCAGTTTTTTGGTGCTCACAGTACCATTTCTTTTTCTTAAGAAATTATTTACTGAAGTAAATATAATTGATTTTAAGGAGCCTAATGAACCCAACTCTGAGGTTCTGGTTTAAATAGAATATAATCAATAAAGATGACTTCTAGGTCAAGAAAAGAACTTTTTTTTTGAATGTGAGTAGACTTAGATGCAAGACACTAATGGTAAACTAAGGTGTCTGCTTTAAATCCCTGGAGTTCCCAAATTATACTATTCCCTTCTAATAATATTCTGAAAAGTGTCTAAAAAGTGCCTAGGATCATGTGAAGGCATGAGAACTATTAGTTGGATGACACTAGTGATATAGCTCTCTGTGAGCTTGGATCTACTTCCAGGTATATGTATTTATTTCCAAAATGTGGGGTGGAGGGGAAATACCTCAAATGAAGCTTTGTAAGATTTGCCTCCCTTGCTTCGTGTCTTGTTCACCTGACACTGGTTTCTGCTTCTTTGTTACAGAAAAGAAGAGGAGAGGCTCAACCAAGAAAAAAAGGTTGCTATTTATTTAGAAGACACAGGCTAACATTCCTAGATGGTGAGATTCATAAATGGGTTAATGTTGTTCCTTTGCTTTCTTGTCTCTAATGTGGTTCTCCCATATTATATGGTTGTTAGATGTTTCCTATTAGAGGAATTAGTGAAATTAGAGGAGCTAGGTCAGGGAGATAAAAGCCTATTAGTGTTATGGATGGCTTCCCCTTTGAGTGTGCTTTGTGCAAAGTATTATTAAGCTAGACCTTACTACCATTAAAGCTTAGAGAATTCTAAGATTATTTGAGGCGTTGGGGTTATATTTTCCAACCAGAATAATAAGTTAACTCTCAATATGTAAATAAATATTTTTTTAAATGAAAGAATATCTGCTTGTTTTGTTTTATTGTAAATGAATCATGGCTTTAAGAGAGTGACTCAATAGCTATGCCTGACATTTTGACAGAAGAACTAGTGTACTATTTGGAGTTAATCTCAAGTCTTTTCATTTAGTTATTGGGACCATAAATCCAATTTTAGTAGTGTGTAATTTTCTCTTTCCAGTTCTCAGGTTTATCAGGCTTAAAAGGTAGAATATATATATTTTTTATATGATCAGAATTTCTTTTAATCTCTAAAATAGGTCTACTATTATTATTTGCAAAAAGAGTCATGTTTTTATAGCCTAAAGCTCCAATAAAAGACTTCAAGGACTTATAAAATAGAATATGGAGAGAAATGATTCTATTGTAAACCCAAAAATAAATTTTGTATCATAGAGAATTTTACCAAGGGCTATTTCTTTTTAAAGTCAAATAGATTCTCCAACATGTGGGTCATGGAAAATAAATATGGGGCTATTTTACATTGAAAAAAATTTCATGAACTAACAAAATCAAGTGCAATGTGTGATCTCTGACTGGATGGATATTAGTTTGAATAAAGTAGTTGTAAAAAGACTTTGGGGGCTAATTGGGAAAGTGTTAAATATGAAAAGTTTAAATATGGATATTAGAGAATTATTGTTAATTTTTATTAGGTATAATAAGGGTATTGTGGTTATACAGAAAAATAGTCATATTTTTAAAATGCACATTGGATTATTTAGGGAAAAAATGTCAGTAATTAGTTTTAAAAACATCAGCCAAAAATATAGGTATCTCCAATAAGGCAAATGCTTCAAAATTAGGTGATGGGTGAATTCCTGTCTTCTCTACTTTTTTTTTTAAAGTTTGATTTTGCTTATAATAAAAGGAAGGAGGTAGGAAGAGAGAAGCAATGTGTGAGTGAGCTATGCATCATTCAAGTGTCCATGCAAGGCAGAGGTTATGAATTAAGGACACTGACTCTGAGAACTAATTAATAAGCATCAAAGAAACTTCTTTTAAAAGTTAAATTAGGGGGAGAACAAATGTTTTAGAATATTTTCCTTCACAATGGCTCTAACAATATGTATATAGTTCATAATGCCAGGTTTTCCTATTACATTCTTCCCAAATGCATTACCCATTTAAACTTTTGTATTTCAGGAAGTTGAAGATTTCCAAGAACAAGAACCCTAGGATAAACTGAAGTTAATGGAACCTTTGGCTCTTTCATTTGTGACCTGTCTTCTAACCAACTCTGCAGTACATAACCACCTAGACAAGCAACATCTCTCTGGAGCCAGCATAGGGCCCTTCTAGAGCAGATACCACAAGACTCACACACAGCCCCATTACTAAGGTTTTATTTAATTTTAGAGTGCAAATATTTTTCAAATTCTTAATAGCTTTTGTATACTATGAAGCTACACTTTTGCCCTTAACTACTCCTTTTGGATTATGACTTGTATACATATATTGGCAGCAAACGGGATAAAAGCCAATTTGTCTATCACGACATTTCCTTTAAGATATTAGTTTCTTTAGAGCAGCACTCTTGCTACTAAAGTTAGTGTTTACTTTTTCCTTCTCACACTCTCAATTAAAGGTGAGCTAACTCTTCCAGCTGTTTTTTATTGATTAACATAAAATCCTAATTTTTTTGTAGTTGAACTCCTAAATTTAATTTTTTTAAACTCTTAAATTTTATAAGAAAATCCTAAATTTAAACTGTTAAAGAACAGTTTGATATTTATGGCTCTCCTTAAGTATAGGACATATCTTGTTCTATTGAATTTGTTTTAATATCTTAGATGATAGTTTTTCTTTTTTAGTCAATTGATCCAAGGACAAGTCTAAATCACTGAGCAACTAGAAAAAATTATGTAAATGCTAATAGACTGAAAAATGCACCTCAGGATGAACTGCTTGTTACCTTTTTGCTGCACTGTGAAAAACAATCAACAGTGCAGGTCTTTTTTGAGCAGTAAATGACTGCTAAGCTTACTGTGTATTTTCCCCTAATTCGATTACCTATAAAAACAAAGCAAAGTTTATGCTCATTTGTTTGTAGACTGGAATCATTAAATAGAAGAGTTCTGAAATAGTATATTAAGACTTTAAAAACGTAGGGTTGATGAAAACATTCAACCCTAAATGATGATAACTTGTACAGTGTTACACAAAGAACTGGAAGAGATTATTTAAATTTTTCCTTTATTTTTTTCAAATTTGCTTGCATATTTTGGGTAGAGAGAATTTGATATGGGGCAAAGAAATCCCCAAACCAACAGAATGAAACCAACTTTATTCTTTTTTCTCTTCTACTAGTAGATAAAGCAAACTTTACAAGTGGGCTATGAAAAGAAGGCAGCTTTTTATAAAATGTCTAGTTTCCTGGAGTCTTTCCAAACTTAAGCTACAGTAGCATTTATTCAAAAGATAGAAAATATCTAAAAGTTTAGGGCCCCTCAAAATCTTTATAGCATGGTATTTTCAGTTTTCACTGAATGGGCTGAGGATGTTATTTCTTTTAACAAACTGGAATTTTCAAATAGGCTATCTGTATTTAAAGATGCTGAACGTTGATTTTTTCCTAATAGTTAAAAAAGTTGGTATAATTTACATATGAACTTGATTCTGAAAAACATTCCATACCTGTCTCATTTTGCCTATTGCACTGTCTATAAAGGTGAAATTTCAATACCCAGTTTGAAACTAAAAATTAGATTTAAAGTTTATATTACTTTCAATTCACATTTTCTATTTTTCTCCATAATTCGCCCTTTCAAAATATAAAAACTGGATGTTTCTTCAAACAGATGGCCTGATGTTCCATAAGTGTAATGAAGAAGTAGTTAAAAACTCATGGAAAGTCTTTCCAGCAAAACTTGTAGCAGTGTCTTGGCTAAATACTCAAGGGTTAATATGGTCCTGTTGTTCAGTGTCTTCTACCTAAAGAGAACTTTTGTATTGTAATTTATTTTTTATTGTGCCTTAAACATTTATGTAAATAACCTTTAGTAATAAAGAATTCTCAGTTATGTAATTTACTTATATACAAATCTAGAAATTTTACATAGCAGGTTAACAGAACACAGATGGTTATATATTTTACCTTCACTGAAAATCTTCTTTGAGGCAGCCTGGAAGTCAATAATGGATAGGATTTCTACTGGATAAATAAACCTATATGGAATTTCACAGAATTTTCAAATTGCTTTGGATAACTGGGAGTTGGGCACAACAAACTACTTAGTTTGCGGATTCTTTCAAAGGAACAATCTCATCTATTCTACTTGGTACTCTTCCATTACCTTCCTAATAGCAAACACTACCAGCTTTCAAGTCTAGTAAAGGAATGAGAGTTTAAAATGGAAAGTTATTAAACTTTCCCAAGCTTTAGCAGACTTTTGTTCCCCTCTTGCTTTTGTTAAATATATGTAGATACCAGAACAGGTTGACTAATGATTAAAGCAGAACCATTTTAAATGTTCCATTTCTTTTTCATAAGAATGCGACATTATGTTTTCATTTCAAGCACTGTAAAACATTACTTTCTCACTTTTCCAAGTAAAAGTTATACAAATATCAGTTCCTCTTACCTTCTATTATATGCTGTAATGATTTTATCATTGCCACTGTCAACAGCAATTTACCAATTCAGGTAGATGCTGAACTGGATTATGTTAGAGCTATACAAAAAAAGAACACGAACTAAAGAGACTTAAGGCACAAATTCACCATAAAGGCCTAATATATATCTATCTATGAACTGATATTGTATAATCTAAGTCTCCCTGAACTCTAAATCTATAGAAATCTTTTCGGGGCGGGGGGGGGGCGTTCAAATAAAATATTTGTAGAGAGTAAAAAACCCTTCAGAAACAGGGTTAGAGAATCAAAATTATTTTGTCCTACAAGAGCCATAAAAATAAATAGTAAAATTTCCAAAGTCTGTAGTCTCTCCCATTTTCAAGAGAAAGTGAATGAAAAACTAGAATTAAAGAATCTCTGGGTAGATAACAAGGCCAGGTGTAGTTCTGGAAAGCAGCCATGTTCCCATGGCAACTTTGAATCGCCATTTTGTGTTTCCACTGCCTCCCGCCCTTGCGTCACTTCCGGTGTTACCTGCGTTTTTACCGGGAGCGGTAAACAAGGTGTGCACGCATCTGGAGAGCTGTCGGGATGCAGCACAGTGGAGCAGCGGGAGCCCGTAGCTACACTCTGTTTTCACTGCTGGGCGTCCTGTTTCAGGGTGAGTGCGCTGGCTGGCTCTGCCCCACATCCGGCTGGCAGCGGGGGGAGGGGGGGCGCGGTTAGGGAAGATGGTCGCTTTTCCGGTTCCGGGTGAGGGTGGTCTCAGGAAAGCCCCCACAACACTCTGGGAAGGAAGGAAGCGGGAGGGTGTGGGGAGAGTGTTCTTTTTATTGTAATCACCACTCACTCAGTGGAGTTCTTAGCTTGTTAGTGCTTTCTTGAGCCCCTGGGAGCTGGACCATTCGCGTGACTGCATTGTATTCTGGCGATAGCATGACTTGGTAGAACCACGGATGTCTCCGGTTTTGTGTGCACCCGACTTTGCCTTGTGATGAATTAATCAGTGATTGACTCTGCTGTGGTTTTGTGGGCTGTATATCATGATTAGGAAAGGGCAACTCTAGTGTTCCGTAGTTTGTCCAAGTAATTTTTGGAAAGAAAAGCATGACTTGGTAATTTTATTTTTTGTAGGTGATTGTCAGGGCCATGAAGTAAAAGGTTTATTAGTTACAGGAGGGATATACTGTGATTTCGTTATAACAGAGGTGCATTTTGTTGAGGAAAAAGCAGCTGCTTTAGCTTTTTAATAACATTTAAAAAAATTAAAAGGCACATCGATTGTTAAAATTTTAATCTAATATTAACTAATATCGGAAGTACAGTATTAACACTATGACATGTTCTTAAAATTTGGATGTTTTGCTTTCATGTAGTTTTCAAGTTGCATAAATTTCAATCCAGCCTAACTACCTTCATTTTAGAGTGCAGTTATTTGCGTGTGTGTGTGTGTGTGTGTGTGTGTGTTTCTGGGAAATCATGTTAGCAGAGCTAACATTAGAGTGAATTGTTAACTTCATAAAATTTTCCTCTGTATGGGTAATGGGAATTTCTGACTTCGGGTGTTCTAAATCTCAGCAGGTAAGGCTGGCAAGTTTTTTACTTATTTGGTGACTAATATGCTACTAGCATACTCCCTGATCCCTCCCAGCTGCCTCTGTCATTACAAGTGTCCAGTTTTTCAGCCAGATTATTTTGCAATATAATATTTAGGTTGACCTACTGTCACTCCAAATAATCCCAATCCCCCCACTCTCCTATATCAGTGTTCAAATATTGTCCTGTTGAGGAAAATAAATGTAGAAATGGTGGATGGTTTCTTAAACGATGTTATTTCACATCTGGCATGCAATAAATCTAGCAGACTAAATAATTCAAACATTAAAAGCTGATTTTATGAGCTTTATGTACTTGTTGAATTGATTTGTGTTTAACAAATGATAGTTTTATTGAGATATAATTTATATGCCATACAATTTACCCATTTAAAGTGTGCAATTCAGTGGTTTTTATATTTGGAGTTGTGCAATCATTATTACAATCAATTTGGGATCATTTTATCACCCCAAAGAGAAACTCCATACACATTACCATTTAACAGTTCCTCCCCATTCCTCCCCCCAGCTCCTGGCATATACCAGTCTACTTTCTATTGCTATGTATTTGCCTATTCTAGACATTTCATATAAATGAAATCCTATTTTTTTTTTGTGACTAGTTTTTTTCACTTAGCATGTTTTCAAGATTCATTCATTCTTTTTTTTTTTTAAATCATACTTTTGAATCTGTTATGCGATACTTTGGTTTCATACCAGTGTTTGTCTTTCCTTCTTAGAGATAGGACCCATTCAATTTTTAGCTTGTTTGAATTCTCCTTAAGTTATAAATATAGTCTAAGTATGTAGAAACAATAGATTAGGCACCTACGGTTCTTACACTTTTTTTTTTTTCCATTTAAGCATGCAGTTTTATGAATCAGAGGTTGACAGATTTATATTTTGGAAAACCAGGTATACAAAATTGTGAGTTTTGTCATTTTTTTATGTATAAAATTACTTATATTTAAATGTGATTTTCTTGTTTTCCTCCCAGATAAAAATTTTGTTAATTATCATGAGTATTTGTACTGTTAGCTGTTTTTACCTGGCAAGAATGCCTTTTTACTCAGGTGAAAAGATAAATAATCATAAGCACATTAGGCCGAGAATAAAAATTTCTGAATGAATGTAACATTGGATTGGTATTTTTTTCTTATTTTATTTTTTGAATGAAGGAATCAAATTATTTTACATCCATTGATTTTAAAAACACTTATCAGTATAATATATATATAGAGAAAAGTGTACATATCAGAAGGATACGGCTCACTGAATTTTCAGAAACTGAGCACACCCAGGTAACCAGCACCCCAGTCAGGATATAGAATGTTACTAGCACTCCAGAAACATTTCTCGTACTTCCCTCCAGTCATTATCCCTTCTCCCTCAAGGGGAACCACCATCCTGATGTATAGATTAGTAATGTAGACTTGTTCACTTCGTTCACAGTTCTTACTTTTCTGTAACTATACATTTAAGACCTGTTTAACTAGTGTTTAGGTTTCAGTGAAGTGACTACATATTGATAACTCTGAGGCAAAATCATGCTCTTAAAAATGGAATTCAAAAAGCAAGGAAGATAAGTAGCTTTGTTAGTGGTGTACTTAATATAATTCAGTAACCAAATTTGCTCAAATTTGTAATTTTTATGCTTATTTTGTAACAATTTTTGATATATAAAGGAAACTGTTGGTGTGGTTCAGTTGAATAAATGTTACTGAGCATCCATAATGTGCTAGGTTCTGTTTTGATGAGCTAAGTTTCCATTGCAGAAGACACGGAAGTCAACAGATAAGTTTAGAATATGGTTCTAAGAGGGAAATGCACTAGAAACCATAGGAGCACAGAAAAGTTGCCCTTAAACTGCCATGAGCATACAAGGAAGACTTTCTAAAGGTGTCATCAAAATTAAATCTTTAAAAAATTTTAAATTTATTTTATTTTTTTGCAGCTCTATTGAAATATACAATTAGTTGCTCATATTTACATTGTACAATTCAGTAAGTTTTTTGATTATAGCTGGCATACAATAATATATTAGTTTCAGTTGTACGGCATAGTGATTAGAGCTCAAGTGATAACCTCACTAAATCTAGTACCCCTCTTCTCTCTTACATATTTATTACAACATTGTTGACTATTTTCCTTATGCTACACTTTATACTCCATGACTTTTTTGTAACTATCCATTTGTATTAATCCTTTCGCTCTTTTTCACTATCTCCCTCAACCCCCCTTTCATCTAGTAGCCCTCAAAATATTCTCTGTATCTATGAGTTTGTTTCCATTTTTGTTGTTTATTTTGTTCTTTAGATTCCTCATGTATGTGAAATCATGTGGTATTTGTTTTTACCTGACTTACTTCATTTAGTTCAATACCCTCAAGGACCATCAAGGCAATATCTTTTTCCACACCTTTCCTTTTAGTCTGTGTGTGTCTTAATCTGAAGTGAATCTCTTGTAGGCAGCATATATAAGGGTCGTGTTTTCTTATCCATTCAGCCACTCTATCCTTTGGTTGGAGCACTTAATTCTTTTCTATTTGAGGTACTCATTGATAGATACGTAGTTATTACCATTTTTTATAACAATTTTGATACATGTTTTTCTTCTTAAAGAAATTCCTCCAGCATTTCCTGTAATAGTGGCTTGGTGTTGATGAATTCCTTTAGTTTATTTTTGTCTGGGAAGCTCTTTATCTATCCTTTGACTCTACATGATAGCTTTGCTGGATAAAGTATTCTTGGTTGTAGATCCTGGATTGTCATCACTTTGAATATTTTTTGCCAGGCCCTTCTGTCTTGCATAGTTTTGAGAAATCAGCTGCCAGTCTTATGGGTGCTCCCTTGTAGGTAACTGTTTTTCTCTTGCTGCTTTTAAGATTCTTTCTTTGTATTTAACCTTTAGCATTTGAATTATGATGTGTCTTGGTGTGGGCCTCTTTGGGTTCCTCTTTCTTGGGACACTCTGAGCTTCCTGGGGTTGTATATCTATTTCCTTCACCAGGTTAGGGAAATTTTCCATCATTATTTCTTCAAATAACTTTTAATTTCTTGTTCTCTTTCTCCTCCTCCACGTACCCCTATTACATGGGTATCTTTACATTTAATTTTGTCCCAAAGACTTCTTAAATTATTACATTCTTAGCTTCTTTTTCCTTTCCTAATCGGGTAACCATGGCTTCCCCATCCTCTATATCAGTGGTTCGATCCTCTTCTTCATTCACTCTGTTAATTCCCTGTAATATACTCTTCATCTTAGATAATGTATTCTTCATTTCTGACTGGTTTCCTTTCATAATTTCCAATTCCATTTTTATGTTTTTTATCTCTTTGTTAAAGTTCTCACTGAGTTCATTTACACTTCCCCTAAGTTCATTGAGCATCTTTATAACCAGTGTTTTGAACTCTGCATCTGTTAAATCGCTTGTCTCCGTTATTCCTGGATCTCTGTTCTGTTCTCTCATATGGTTTCTGCTTCTTTATCTTCCCATTTTGGCTGTCTTTCTGTATCTATTTCTGTATCTATTTCTATATACTAAGCAAAGCTCCTAAGTCTCCCAGTCTTCTTAGCATGGCTAAGAAGGTGTCCAGAGGTAGAGTCCCAAGAGAGTTTCAGCCATAGGCCAAGTTTAGCCCCAGCCTGTGTCCCTCCAGGGCCACCCGTTAACATTTAGGAAGCAATCCACAGATGCTGTGCTTACAGTTGCCTCAAGAAGCCATACCAGAAACTGAGGTCAGTTGCCACCAGTGTGGGTCTTGGAGCTTGTTTTCAGCAAGTTACATGGGACTCGCAAGGACACAACTGGATATGGCTTGGGTAGGGCTGGGAGTTGGGGGAGGCAGAATTTCAGAATATTCTGGGCAGAGTAATCTCTGTTATCCAGTTTGATGATGTCTCAGCTATGGCGGTGCTGTGTCTGCACACTGGGAGGTGGAAGAGCTCAACAGAGGAACAATGGAATCCACTGGCACTTTTACCTGGGAGAGAACCTTGCCTCTGGCCCTTGCATCAACAACTCAGTGTCCCTCTGTAAGTCCCTGGTACACCGCC